TAAAAACTCAAACTTTCTTCATCCCTCTGGATCAACCAATCACCCTCTCAGCATACCATCTGGTCTCTTCGTGTACCTCGGCCACCTCTCTACCAACTGCTCCTGCTTGGGAGGACAAGCGCTCTCCCAGGTCCCCAGTCTCCAGAAGAGACACAGAATGTGCTGGCCTGCGGGACCAGGCCACCCATGGCTCTCCGGGTCCTCAGGAAAGTGAACAGTGCTCACAAAAATGGTAAGAGGCCACATGTCTTAATGAGTTTCTATAGCCCGTAAGGCAAGCCTTCGCAGCTTCCAGATCCTGGAAAGGGTCTGTCCCCTTGATGAGTGTCTGGGGGAGCAAGCATAAGAAGAAATGAACAACTTTTATGGGGCCATGCAGCAGATGGGAGGCTGGGGCTCTGTCTAGAGGATGCTGGAAAGGGACAAATCTCTGACCAATCAGCCTCAGGGCTGGTGTGCTACTCCCTGGGCCTGTGGTCTGCATGTGTCATTTCTACCACAAGATCACTGGTATTCCAGGAGCAAAACTGTACAGCTTCCAGTTGCTGCTTGGTGAGGATGACTTGCAAGGGGCTATGGTCTCTTCCCAAGTGGGCCCTACATACACTTGTCCACCTGCCCTTAGAGCCACAGCCCTGATAAAACCAGACTTTCCAAACAGGGGAAGGGGCTGACATCTATTATCTGTGGAGCTCACTTGTCTGCTGCCCCTCTGAGGCCCTTCCAAGTGAAATGGTGCCCCAGGGCACTATGGCTTTTGACCAACAGAGGAAAAGGTTGTGCTATTTGTAAGACATTTGTGGGTTCCAGAAATGATCAGGTGATAGAGTGCTACAGGTAGGTAAAGCAGAGGATAAACAAACTACCTTCCATCCTTAAAGATTTTCAAGTCTTAGGAGTACAATAACCTCTCCTGGAGAAAATGACACACTTTTCTTTCTTGGGAGATATTCAGTCTCCAATCCCACATTTGTTCCCACCCTATCATTATTATTAGGCTGGACTGGGCTAACCAGGCCACCTGCAATGGGATGACTTAAACTAAGAAATGGGCCAAAACAGCATGAGTTTGCAGTCAGAGGTCAGGTTCTGACATGGAAGAAAAAAGTAAGATGGTACAGGAAGGGAACAGGCCTCAGTGGACTCTGGGTCTGGTCCATCTGTTGAACATATGCAGCCCTTTCAGAACATTTTGTCACAAAAAGTTCAGATTTCATCTCTATTCCTAATATGGAGTCTTTTTCATGAAAAAGAATTTTATCTAGAAAAAGCATCACACTGCTGTAAAGACACCAGGAGCTCTCTCTACATGTCATTAACAGCTAGAAACTTCCTACCTGTCCTCAGATCTCCATGGCACTTTATACCCAAAATTTGCCCAGTAAACACATTGAGTGTGACCTTAAAACATTTTCTGATTTGGGGGTTGGGGATTTAGCTCAGCAGCATAAGCACCTGCATTGCCAGTGTGCAGTTGTGAGTTCGATCCCCAGTACCGATAAAAAAGAAAAAGACAAAAAAAAAAAAATTCTCTGATTTAAGGCTGGGTATGGTAGCACATGCCTATAATCCCAGCATTTGGGAGGCTGAGGCAGGAGGATTATAAATTCAAGGCTAGCTGGGGCAATTTATCAATTTATCAAGGCCCAGGCTCACAATAAAAAGGGCTTTGGATATAGCTCAGTAGAAAGGCCCTGGGTTTGATCTCCAGTACTGCCAAAAACAAAAAATAAAAACCTCATAAAAGTGTCTAACAGGACTTTCCCTGAGTAATCACCCATTTCTGTGGCCCTCTAAACTTTCCAGATGGCCCCTAACAGGCTCCCAGGACTCAGCAGTACAGAATTTCACAGATGGGAGGTGACTAGGACAGGAAGTATTGAAACATGGAACTGAAACCACAGCTCTAAGCACAGCAGGGTGTCACCCAACATGGGTTAGAAGCCTCTGCCCTCCCAGGCCTGGGTGCTGGTTCCCTCAGGCCCCACCCTGGGTGACCCCACTGTCCCTCCTTTACTGTTGCACTAATTCTCAGGGCCCCAACCAGCTCTGCGGTCAGGTATCTCCAGGCGTAGATTGCTCTCCCGGCCCAGTTCCACATCCTGAAATGTGTAACACACTCTGACACTGATGCAATATGCAATATGTGCACCACCTTCCCCAAACAACTCCTCCCCATTCATTCTGCACTACAGGGAGGAGCCCCTCTTATCAAGAGTCCATTATCAAGTTCAAAACATCACCTTGTCACTGCCACACAATGGCACACCATGTGTCCCTGAAGATACTAATGTATACTACGGGAATGTTTGCAGTATGTGCCCCTCCCCAGAGCAAATCACAATGTGCAGTGTGATCCGTGTGTGTGTGTGTGTGTGTGTGTGTGTGTGTGTATAGGTGCATATGTGTGCAACAATTAAACAGGACTTTGGAGCCCAACACACCGAATGGGGTCTGTGATCTTATGGATATTCAACTCTAAGCACTGATTTGGGGGGAGGAGTATAAAATAGGTTTTCAGCTGGGCATAGTGACACATACCTATAATCCCAACATTCAGGAGGCAGAGGCAAGAGGATCAACACAAATTTGAGGTCAGCTTGGGCTACCTAGTGAATTAAAGACCAGCCAGACCTTCTTCAAAATAAATAAACCCAAAAGTAAGAATTCTAAAAACAAAACAAAACTAAACAAAAGAGAAACAGTCTTTGACTATCTATCCTATGGAGAATTTACAATAAGGATTAAGTAGGACAATGACTGTAAAGGACTTGTACTTTCCCTACACAGGATGCATCGGCAGTGACCATCTCTCCATGAGAAGCGTGTCATTTTTAATTGTTTTGCCTAGCTCCACTTTCCATAAAAATACTTAAGTCAACTTTCTTATCACCTTCTCGGCCTTCTGGGCAGCAGACTGCACCCCTCCTAGATAGCTCTCCCTGTGCATCTGCTGAGTCCCTGGGGTCCAGCCCAGACTGTGCCCTGCTCCTGCCAGAGGCGCAGGTTTCCAATAGCTCAGGCCATCTCCTCAGACCTCCTCAATCAGATTCCTGAGCCAGCCAGATTCAGGTTCACAGTTCTAGCTTTCTGCCACCTTCCTGGTGATCTCTGCCCTGACACTTGAGGGCTTTCTCCACTGCTGAACACTCCTGAAAGGAAGTTCTTCTGATTTCCACCTGAGGGGACATTTTCTCCCCACCCTGCGTTTATCAGTTCTGTCCTGATCTCTCTCTTTTTTTTTTTAACTTCAGTACTGGAAATTGAACCCAAGTCTTCACGCAGGCAGGAGCACTTTATCACTAAGCTACATCCATTCCCGACTTCTGCCCATGGCCAGTTAGTTATGTTGTCATTGTGGTCGTTGTTCCCTAATTTGACCTCATACTTTCAAATTAACGGATCCACACAGACATTCTGCAGATAATTCAGAAGTGAATGCCCTGATCTTTTGGGGCAAGGCCTCCCCAGTGGGAATCTCAGCATGAGGTGCCCTTTGGGACCCACTGCCCCAGGTCAATAAATCTCTTTAAGGCCCACAAGATAGTAACTTTTAAAGACCTGTGACAGCACTTGAAGGGAACTTGCCAAAGCCTGTAGCCATACCTTGTATTTATCATTGTAAGTACCAGGCAGATTATCGAGATGGCTGTTTATTTTCCCTGTGCTTCACATAGTTATGGGAGGGGAGCTCTGGACCAAGGTGTAATTATGAGGCAGCTCCTCCTTCACACCAGCAGGGATCTGGAAAATACTTCCGGTACTGGTTGGCCCCCAGCCATCAATGCAAGTCTCAAGTCTCAGGGAACGTGTTTATAAACCAGAGCTTCACAACAGGAGTGGCTCTGAGCTTGTCCTGCCTCTCATTCAAGAAAGGAACAGGGTGGGTCTCCTTCCTATTTCACCTCCAACTTACACTATGTCCAAGTTCAGGCTGTAAACAAGTGGCTGCATCTAAGTAAAATGCTGTTCACCATCTCTACCACACTCCTGTCACTTAACGTTTTATTAATAAATAAAAACCACCGGCTTGGAACTTAAGAGATTTGGAAGCTTTTTCTGTTTGTTTTTTGCTCTAGGGATTGAACACGGGGCCCTCACAGAGCTATGTCCCCAGTTGTTTTTATTTTTATATCTTATTTTGAGTTCTTTAAGCAGGGCTTGAACTCAACCAATCCTGTCGTTTTTACCCTCCCGGAGTGCAGGAATCAGGAGCGCACACCACCACGTGGGCCCGGGCTTAAGTGGTTTTTAAAAAGCTTTTCAGACAATCAAAAATCACTTCAATGCCGGGTGCGGGGTGAGCCAACTTCTAACTGATTAAGAAGTGTGAAGGCTGCTTTCTAGATTCAGTTAAGTCTTAGTTTAGGAACAGATATGCTCCTAAAAAAAAATAAACTACGCGTAAGTTTAGTTTTTATAAGCAATATGTTAAATGCGCTGAATGTTTATTTAAGAGATTCCGTTAGCAACTTTTCGGCAACTTTACTCATAGCGGGAAATGCGGCATTTCTATCTTCGCTTTCCTTAGTAAAGCATTTATCCGGCAGAGGGGAGGGAAGAGATACCGGATTAGCCAGAGCACAGAGGGCGGCAGCGATCAGAGCCAGGGCAGCTTAGGAACGACGTCGTTTCCAATCACTTGGCCTGCGCCCGAAGGGAGGGCGCGCTGGGGCTTTAGACCGTCCGGGGCCCACGTCCCGGTGCCGGCTCTGCTCCCGGCGCCCCATAACCACGTGTCCAAGCCCACGCGCTTCACTCCCAGGTGTGGGATAGGCTAAGTCCCGCCACGCTTCTACTTCCCGTGGGACGGGGCACGGCTCCCCTAGGCACCTCACGGCCACGCAATCGGACTCCGGACGCGCGGCCAGCGTACGGGAGGGACAGCTGGGCAGCTGCCGTCCACCCCAGCGGCGCTTGAAAGCACCCCGGACGCGGCGGCATCCGGTCTCCCCTCCGAGGAGGTGCACCCCGCATCCTGCCCGCTCGCGGACTCTTACCATCTCCTTGCGCAGCAGCGCCAGGGCGGCGTCCAGGTTGGGGGGCTTGGCGCGCGGCCCTCCTGTCCGCGAACCGCCGCCGGCCGCGCCCCCGCGGTTCAACTCCTCCTGGATGCGCGACTTCTGCGCGTAGAGTCGCTCCAGGTGCCGCCAGCCGCCCGCCGCGCCGCCTGCCGCCGAGTGCAGCAGCCCGCTCAGGCTCTTGGGCAGCGGCGGCAGCCCGTCCACCCGCAGACCGCGCGCCCCGAGCCCGCTCATCGCGCGGCGGAGGACACCAGCAGCCCGCCTGCCCGCCTGCCCGCCTGCCACCGTCCAGGTCCGCTTCTCGCCCCGCCCCCGGGGACTCCACCCCGCGCCGGGCACGCCCCCTCTCGGGTCCCCGCCCCGATGGACACGCCCCCCAGGTTCCCCGCCCCCCCACCCCAGCGCTCCTCCTTTCCCCTGCGGGACCCAGGGTCCCTCTGAGATCCAGAGCCCGGCCGAGCTCGTCTGCACCCTTCCCGGCGCCCCCGCTCACCTCTAGCCCGGCCCAATCCTCCCCTGTTCCCATCCAGCTCAAGCCACCACTACCTTGTCACGTGGCTGAATCCCATCCGCCTGCCCCACATCCCTGCCCACCTGCCCCACCGAACCGGCCTGGCTGCGCTCCATCCTGTCCAGCTCCCAAAGCTGTGAGGAACTGCGTGGGGGCGCCAGCTCCAATCCGATGGCTTCGAGGAAGAAACCAAGGATCAAGTCCCAGGGAAACCAGGGAGGGCTCGTACCCGGCTCGCTGGCTAGGGGGAGGCAGTGTCCCCAGGCCGGCCTACTGCAGCCAGAAGAGCCCTCTGGGAAACTTCAGGTGAGCTATAGACAGCCTCTCAGCTGGGCCTTGAACATGAAAATGCTTCTAAATTGAAATGCTTGGAAAGTAAGGGAAGAGATTAAATCTCAGAAATCAACTCTGGGAAAAATAAACGCCACTTACACCTCCAAGATGAGCGAAGAAAGGGAACAATGCACTTTCCTAGAAGACTGAAAATGACCCACAGCTGCACTTAGATAAAAGTCAGGGAGACAGGGAGTAAGGATTTCCCCACCCCCCACCCGTCAGTGAGGGAGACTTCATGCAGCGTGGAGAGTGACTGAGTTCGAGGCCGTGACTATTGAGTTTAATTATAAAGGGACTTAATTGGTCTAAATGCATTCAGTAGGAGCATAATTATACTGGTAAAGGTTTCTGAGTGATTCAGACACCCGACATAAAAGCACCTCCTAGTTTGTAGGCTTGCTTACCTGTAATCTACCACCTGTCGAGCCACCCCAGAAGCACTATGTGAAACTGGCCTATGTCCCTTCTGGACCCTTGGCACAGGGGAGAGGCTTCTGGTAGTTGCCTACTGTCAAACATTCATTCACTCTTCTGTTATACCAGTGAGTGTCTTTGGCAGTGTTGCCAGTGGACCGGTGTGGGCGGAAGGAGGGAAAGCTACCTGGCCTGCTTCACACCCCAAGTGGATTCCTTTCATTTTGTCTGTCCTGCTATCTCTTCTGCAGTACCTGGCTGACATCACTCAGATTGGCTGATGGGAGGGTTGGCTCCAGGTGAAATAAGAGATCATTCCAAAGCTCTGAGGCACTGAAATGGCCTGAGGACGTCCCTCAGAGGATGAGGGTACAGAAAGACAGGGTTAGGTCCAGCTGGAGACCCATACAAGGTCGGTGTCAGAACACAATGCCAACGCCACATTTCACTTTTTAAACTTAAAAAAAAATTGGGAGTGGGGTGAGGATTTAGCTCAGCAGCATGAGTGCCTGCAAGTGAGTTCAATTCCTGGTACAAACAACAAAGAAAATTTTTTTATAGATAGGCTCTCACTATATAGTCTAGGCTGGCCTTGAGCATTCGATGTGCCCTCAGACTGGCCTCAAACTCATGATCCTTCTGCTGTCACTGGACAAGGTCTGAGGAGCTCCCCCAAGAAGGAAGTGGGGGCCTCAATTCACCCAACTCATGATGTAGGTTGTAGGTTTCCTGATTCTATTACAGAAAAAGAATTTTCAAGACATGTCAGTGAGAGGCATAAAGAGGTTTATTAGGCAGAATTTTAAAAGTATACACGCAGTGTGAACCTTCAAGAGAGAGGCACATGATGGTCAGAATTTGGGATTGTTGTCTTCAAGATGGATGACCTAGAATGTGTATTCCTATTGGTTGTCAAGTTGCCCATCTAGCAGGCTGGGACCATGTCAGAATGCAAACCATGTTCTGTGTGTGTTTGAAGCTGAGATGCTGCCTGCTTCAGGGGAAGAAGGGCAATTTACAGGTGAAAGGCAGCCCAGAGCCCACTTTACAGGCTAGCTGTGTTTTTTTAAGGCCCTTAGGAATTTTTTTTAATAAGTTTCCTCAGAGGGAAAAAGATCTGAGTAACTTTGTGTCCTGAAGCTGCCGTTTTTAAAAAAGTACAAGTCAGGCACACACCTGGGGAGGCTGAGAAAGCAGGATCACGGCTGCTTGAGATCATCTGGGCCACAAAATGGGTTCAAGACCAGCCTGAACTGCATAGTGAAACCCTGTTTTAAAAAGATCCCCTCCTCCATACACACACCCCAAAAAGGTACAATTTGAAAGTTAAATATGTCTTGTCTCCTTTTTACCTATTTTTTTTTTTCTATCCTGCCTCCATACCTCAGCTTCCTGAGTGCTCCCAACCTTATAATTTTAAAAGTAAATTGTGCGTTCTGGTATGTACTCAGGATGAAGATGCTGAGATCCATATCAACAAATAGCATCTCAAACTGAGTTGGAATTTGTACAAAATTTCTGTGGTGATAATTAAGGTTATTTGTATAAACCTAAAATATTTATACTGTAGCCTACCGATATTTTGACATCCTTAGGAACCAGCAATACCTGCTTTTATTTGTTTATTTTGTTACGCTGGAGACTAACCTGGGGCCTCACCGCTGCTGGGCAAGCACTTTGCCACTGAGCTACATCCCTAGGCCAATGACTGCTTTAATTAATTTATTTTATTTTTTTGAGACACTCTCACTATGTAGCCCAGGCTGACCTGAACTCATAGTAATTTTTTGGCCTCAGTCTCCCAAGTTCTGGGATTATAGTTGTGTGCTACCACGCCCAGCCCAGTGGCTGCTTTTAAAAAAAAAGTAATAACTTCTGAAAATGTGTGTTCTTTGCTCTAATCTGCTAAAATATTGTTTTGGTCCATTAAAATGCTAAAACAAAATACCTTAGGTTTGGTAATTTATAAAGAGAAACTTTAAAAAATGTATTTGTACTTGTTTGCGGAACTAAATGTTTCATTGTGGAGAGTTGATGCATGTACACAGACAGCATCTGAATTCCTTTTTACTTCCCCTTCCCCAACTCCCCTAAGCAACACACTTTGTTGCCCAAAACTATGGGAACAGGGGATCTTCACACAGAGCACCAGCAGATTTGGTGTGTGGCAAGGGCCTGTTCCTCCTGGCTGGCATCTTCTGTGTCCTTACCTCGTCACCAGGTGAGTCTTAAGGGGCCTTGGGACTGAAATAAGGAACTTACTGTCACTCTTTCGAAGAAGGTTCACTGACTCCCAGAGAGAAAAAAGAAGTTTTAGGATGCGACAGTAAGGGGCTGGGGAAGCGCTTATTAGCTAGAGATTTAGAGCACGGTTCTAAACTGTGATGCATCTCATTCAAGAGCAAGTGCAGGCGCTCGGAGAATGAGATGCATCACAGTTTGGAACCGTGAACATGTATCTGAAGGGGTGGAAACCCCAAGAAAAAGTAGCTCACCCCCTAGAAGGGCATTAGTCCATTTTACAGGTATACATGTGTTTTTTTAAACATAATTTGAATATTCTTTGGATTCAGTCAACCTGTTCCTTTATTTTGAAATCGGGCTCCTGTTACTTGCTCTCTCAATTAAGCCAATTTATGGACTTTTATACAATTCCTAAGGAATTTTGGGCAGGATGGGCCTGTAGGGAAGGAGTCTAAATTTAACCAAAGGAATGCTGATATGCATCGCCTGGGGTAACTTCCAGCTGGTTCCAGGAAGTTGCAGTCTTTTTTAGTTATGATTTCCTTGTCTCCTTTCTATGTATCTTTTATTTCTTTTATCCTACCCCGGTCTGAGGCAAAGAGTCAGCCCCTAATTCTATTCACGAGGACCATATCCTCACGACCCAGACACCTCTAGAGGGGCGGCACACCTCAGGGCAGCTCCTCGTGCCACTGCCTTCTGGGTTAGGTTTCAACATAGGAAGCCGGTGAGGAACGTGTTTTCAGTACATAGCAAGCACCAATGTTCCAGACTTGAGCTGACGACAGTCAATGCTGCGAACCATGGACATGTTCACCTTCTTGTCCACTGTGGTCACTTCCCACCTGGTGCAGGACCCAAATGTAAAAACATCTGGAGAGTAACTGTGCAAGTGTATTTAGTTCAGCCTATAATTTTTCTGTAATTTTTAAAACAAGTTGTGAATATAAAAGTGTATACAAAGCCTCTCAAAGATCTTTTTTTATTTTTAAAATTTTTCATTTTAAACAGAAAAATAAAAATAATAAAACAATTTCAAAATAGGCTAATAGGAGAGTAATAATAATTAATATATTATGTATTGTCACATTCATAGTAGGGGTTCAGAGTACAAGATATAGGCATGAAATATCTAAAAAAGGAGAGCCAGCTTAGTGTGGAGGTGACTGTGTACCCCTGAACTCATCAACTCAGGAGCAACACTTTAGCAAAGATTGTGGAGACGGAAGTTGAGATGGCTTGAACTCAAAAGAATAAGGCGTGCATCACCTAAGGCTGCTTAAGGCTCGCCTTGCTAAGCTTTGCAGAGAACTCATTACACCAAAAGGCGGTGATGGTGGTGGGCCAGGAGAAGGTTTCGATGTGGCCAAGACTGGTGATGCTCCAATTGGGTTTGTGGGGAAGTCAACAGTGCAGAGTTACCTGGCAGGAGTATATTATGAGGTGGCAGCCTGTGAGTTCACTACTCTGATGTCCTCAGATGCAAAGTGCCAAGATCCAGCTCCTAGATCTCCAGGTTTCACTGAAGGAGCCAAGGATGGGAAAGGTAGAGGTCATCAAGTCACTGCAGTGACCTGTACATGTCATTTGATCCTGATTGTTCTGGATGTCTTGAAACCCTTGAGACACAAGAGTAAAACAGCACATGAGCTGGAAGACTTTGGCACTCACTTGAATAGCACATCTCCTAACACTGGCTTTAAGAAGAAAGACAAGGAAGTCATTAATCTCACAGCCACTTGCCCTCAGAGTGAGCAGGATGCTGAAACTGTGAAAAGGATTCTGGCTGATTACAAAATTCATAATGCTGACATA